TCATTTATTCTGGATTAAATCCATCTGCTCTCCTGTTCCAGATCCTGCTCATAAAACACCGTAAAAGGTGATGGATTCTCCAGGAAGGGAATTAGCAGCCAATGCTGCCCAAGGGAGCAGCTTTGGGGTTATTTCTGGGAGTTAAAATCCTTCCAGGCAGCTGGAAATGCTGAATTATTTGTCTCATCAACGTCCCCGAGGTGTGAAAGGAAACAGCAGAGAATTATGATGGGAAACTCAGCTCCTCGGGAATGACAGAGAGGAAATAATAAGAGAATTTTATAGGTAGATATTCCTGAAAAATGGGGCTGAATAAAGCAGGAACTGCTCGTGTTGCATATTCTTACCCCTCTGACCCACTGTTAAATCAATTTAAAAAAACAAAGAAAAAAATAAAAGTGTTTTTTAAGAGGTCACCACCGGTTTGGGTTTGAAGAACTGGGGGAGAAAAATTCCTTCCCTTGACCCCATTTCCAGCAGCTCCAGATGTTGAGGAAAATCACTGTAGTATATATATATATATTCCATAATATATTTATGGAATTGGCTTCTCAATAATTGAAAAGCTCAGGAAGCTTTTCTGCGGTGTTTTAAGTGAAAGTGTGCGCTCAAATCAAGCAAAAAAAACCAAACAGCTAAAAGGTAATAATTTTCTATTTATATTAAAAATGCAGCAGGGGGTTTTATTCCCTTTTTATTACAGCAGTGCTTGCAAATCACTGCAGAGCAGGAAAATCCACTTGTGTGAGGCCTTCCATTGAAATGGAACGTGATGGCCCAGGAATTGAAAGGGTTTTTTTATTGAAAAACAACCTCAGCATTTCTTCCCTCTGCTCCTCAGCAGAGAGGGGTTTTTTTTCCATCACTTAATGCCACCTCTCATCAAAAACCTGCACCCTGACAGCTCTTTGAGGGCATCTCTAAACCTGGGTTTAGAGGAATCTTTTCATGCAAAACCTCAGAGTAAATTTCAGGAGTTTGGAACTTTTTTTTTTTTAAATCTCATTAACAAGGGACTGGTTTTATTTATAGAAGGATTTGGGAAACAGGAAATATTTCTAGGTTTTATTTATAAATGAATTTGGGAAACAGGAACTATTTCTGGGGTTTATTTATGAAAGGATTTGGGAAACAGGAACTATTTCTGGATTTTATTTAAAAAAGGAAACAGGAACTATTTGTAGGTTTTATTTATGAAAGGATTTGGGAAACAGGAATTATTTCTGGGGTTTATTTATAAAAAGATTTGGGAAATAGGAACTATTTCCGGGTTTTATTTATGAAAGGATTTGGGAAACAGGAACTATTTCCTCCCTTCTTGGACAGGCTGGTGAGAGGCTCTGATGGATCCAGACAGGACTAAAATGGAAATGAGCTCCAGCAAATCTTCTCTTTTTAATTAGAATAATTGTTTTGCTGCCTTTCTTTACATCCAGCCTATGGGTAAGTAAATTAAAATTAAAGGGGATGTGATTCAAATTGGATTTATTGGGCTCTCTGAGTCACAGTTTGGTTTTAATCTTAATTAGAGCTGCAAAGTAAACAAGCAAAATGTGTCATAATGAGTTAACACGTCAGGGGGATGATCAATCTGGTGCTCAGAGAACACTGCCACGATTTACGGGGGGGAAAAAAGCTTTATCTCTTTTAATCAGCCATGGATTTGTGGATCTTGATGTCCCAGGAAAAAAAAAACAAAGCTGTTTCTTCCCTGGGAAATGGGACAACCTTGGGTCAGCGTGGATGGTGAGGGGCCAACAGCAGCGTGAGGGTAAATCTAATTTTGGGGATTTTTGTCCCAATGAACCAGATAATTAACTTCAATAAACCAAAATTAACTTCTTTTGTGGCTGCTGCCAAAATGCAGGAGGGCCAATATTCAGCTTGGATATCCAGGTTCTCCCCGTGGGAGGCGGGAGCTGGGCTGGGATCTGGGAGCTCAATTCCTTTGGAAGCTGCTGGGAATCAGAGCTGGGATTCCCTGGAGGCAGGACAGTGGGAACGGTGAGGGGGAAAACCCCTCAGAGGGAGAGGGGAGGTGCTGATTCCCAGGGAGATTTTTGGGGTAAAGAGGATCAGGATATCCCTTAAACCTGGATGTCCCTCCCTGGTCATCATGAGGGGCAAATCCACTAATTATAATAAATCAAGGAATGTAATAATTAATCCTTGTTTTATCCTAATGCTGGACTGGCCACTTTAAGCTGGGATTTATTTCCAGTTCTGCTTGACTCTGTGTCAGAGTCAGGGGGAAAAAGGCCTGAGGGATTCCCTAGAAATTCCCTATAAATTCCCTCCAAGCTGGAGGAAGGAACACAGGGTGGAAGCAAAGGATCAGGAGGAGCCATAAAATCATGGAATCATTAAGGCTGGAAAAGACCTTTAAGGTCATCAAGCCCAACCATCCACCCAGCACCAGAAAATCATGTCCTGAAGTGCCACATCCATGTTTTTTAAACTTTTCCAGGGGTTCAGACCTCTCTGACAGCGTAAAAGTGGCAAGGAAGAGGTGGAAAAAGGGATTGGAATAAGCATTAAAGGCCAGGTCTTCCAGGAGAGAGGGGTTTTTAATTTATGAAGTGTTTTATAAAAAAAAAAAAAAAAAGAAATGTTAAAAAAGCTTGGTTTCAGTTCTATTTGTTGCATTTATTTTCCATTCTTACGGGAGAAAAAGCAGCAAAAGAGAGGAAAATTGAATAGCAAAAAAAAAAATAAAAGGGACAAAAATGCCAAATCACAGAAAATAAAGTTAAGAAACTATTTCTTAAATGCTTTAAATGAAAATGAGAATGGAACTTGAGTTTTCTTTTCCAGCACATTAAAGAAAAATGATTTTGCCAACGTTCATTTTCTCTGGTAACTTGTTACAGGTGGTTTGTTTTTCCCCAGCTCTGATCACGCCCCAGAGGACACACAAAGCTGTGCCAGGGAACGAGGAGAGTCAAGAATATCGAATTTCCCACCTGGTGTGGAGATAAAACGAAGCTTTTGGACAATTCTAACAAAATAACCACGTCTCGTTATCGAGCACTCGTGTTCTCGGGCGAGGAAATATCATTTTCAAGTAGCATAAACAGAGTTTTTTCCCCAAACTACCTCAGAATAAGCATTTTCCAAGAGGTGGCTCCAGAAAACAAGACAGGGAAGTAAAGAATCATAAAATTCCAGGATGGAATTCCAGGAGGGAGCTGAGCCCAGGGCAGCAACAGGGCTGTGGGAAACCTCTTTTTGCTCAGGAACCTTCCGTGATGGGGGGAAAAAAAAGATCAAAAAAGGAAAAAAAAGATCAAAAAGTAAAATTTGTCACCGCCCCTCGAGTTGAACACAAAGCACAGCAGAGACACCAATTTTAGGGATAAATAATCATCAAAGAAAAACCAGGAAAACCTGCAATATTTTACAAAGATGAGCAGAAGAGAAAGCTGGTCTAGCAGGAGGTGTCCCTTCAGGGAAGCAGATGATCTTTAACATCCCTTCCAACCCAAACCATCCACAATTCCATGAAAATAACAGGTTAATTTAATATATTCCAGCAGTATCACAGTTAATACACCCACGAGCAAGCAGAGCTTATCCCCAAACACCACAGGCTTAACCCCTGGAATGGCATTTTAAGCCAGGATTATCTCTACAAATTGCCACTTTATCCCTTCCCACCTTCTCAGCTCCTTTTCACTGGAGGGGTTGGAGGCCACAAATTTGTTGAGCTCCTCCTAAACCTTTTGAGCTCCTCCTAAACCTTTTGAGCTCCTCCTGAACCTTTTGAGCTCCTCCTGAACTGAGTTTTTGAGCTTTGCTCCCCAGACTATTCCCAAGGAGCTAAACCTGAGCTGTCCCAGGTGGAATGACTGATGACCTTTTCCCAGCCAGAGCATCCTCTGGTTGGTTTATCCCAGACTTTCCTCCTTAAAGAGGAAACTTGGGGAACAGCAAGTAGGGAAAAAAAACCCAAAACAGATCCATGACAAGATTTTGCAGAAGTTATTTTAATTTGGAGCTGAGAAGGGCACGAACACCTGATTTTATTACTCAAATTCTTTGGAGAGTTGGGCAGAATTGCTTCCAGGCAGAGCTGGAAATGAATGTTTGGATACACAGAAACTAATGTAAAAAATACCTACTGGACACAGTTCTCAAGTGCCTTCAGCTGTGGTCTAAATTCTGGCACAATTCCTCTCCTGTCCCCACCTCCAGGCTCCTGCCATGGAGTCCGTGCAATAAGAAAGGAAATACTGCAATAATATATATTTTTATATTTTTAAAATATTTTTTTTTATTTTTATATTTTATATTTTTATATTTTATATTTTAAATTTTCTTTAGATTTTCCTTTTGTGCAAGCTCCCTGCACAACTCACCCTGGGAAGGGAGTGACCCTGCACGGGCCAAGTGCTGCTGCCGGCGGCTCCAGCTCAAGTCCCACAGGCCAAGGACATCCAGAAAATCAGTTGGAAAAACCCTCTGGGAGCAAGTCCAACCACTGCCAAGGCCACCACTGCCCCCTGTCCCCAAGTGCCACATCCACAGGGCTTTGAAATCCCTCCAGGGATGGGAATTCCACTGCTGGGCAGCCTCTTCTAGTGCCGGCCAACTTTTTCCATGATGGAATTTTCCCCAATATCCAGCCTGAGCCTCCCCTGGCCCAGCTGGAGGTCGTTCCCTCTCCTCTTGTCCCTTGTTCCCTGGGAGCAGAGCCCGACCCCCCCCCCAGCTCTCCCCTCCTGTCAGGGAGTTGCAGAGAGAAAAGCTCTTCCCTGCAAATAATCCAGGGAATATTTCCCGGTGCTGGGAAGTCCTCCTGCAATCCATGCTGGACCAGGCAGAGGATCCAACATCTGGCAGGTCTCTGGTCCTGACAGGGGGATACAGCTCCCTAAAAACGTGGTGTCACTCTTGAGCTCCATCTTGCCCAGCTGAGCTCTCCATCCCATCCCACCCCACCAAACCTTCCACCCTTTCCCGAGAGGAAAAAGTGAGGCAGCAGCTCCAAATAACTCCTTTATTCGGGGCTTTGCTGAGCTTCAGGTTCCTACAGGGAAACAAAAATGCCTTCCAAGGAGAATCTTAGGAAAGATGCTGGAAAAAGTCACTGAAATGTCCAGGAACCTCTAGGGTTTTCAGGTCTGGAATATTGTGCTTCAGGGAAAGAGAGGAGGAAAGGTGGGAACTGCAGCATTTCCAGCTGGAAGCAAAGCAGCCCAAGGAGGTTAATTAGGAGTTTGTAATCAGCCCTGCTGATAATTTGCTGTCTTTACTTCATAGATCTCAAGTAAGGCCATGCAGAATCCTTCCAGGAGCTCTGATGGGGCTTCTGGCCCAGTGTCCAGAACTCAGGATAACTGGGAATCTTCAGCCTTTATGGAATTGCCTTAAAGTTTCTCCAAAAACCTCATCTAAATTCTGAATCCATCCATCACTGAATTATTCTGTGCTTTACTGCTGCAGTTTAACTCTCACCCCTGCCATGGAGCATCGTTGCTCTTTTTTAGGAATGCTATAAGGGAACAATATTTCATCTGATTGTTTCATTTCTTTATGGACTCGCTGTCCATCTGCTCGAGGTGTTGGGAGGATAAAACACAGGCAAGAAAATTCCACATGCAGACGTGAGCAAAATGCAGTAGAGAAACTCAGGCTAATCCAGAAAAAGGAATAATTCCATTCCCTTTTCCTTTCTGTAACACTCCATATTCATATTACCACAGGTAATTCCACAAGGAAATAATTCAGATCTTGGAGGTTTTCCTTCTTTTTTTCTTTTTCCAGAGAAATGCACCCCTTTTCCTTGCTGACTGTTACACCCCATCTTCAGTACCTGGGGTAGGGATGATTCCAAGGGGCCACAGATGATTCCAAAGTGAGCACAAGAAGCACAAGGGAATAATTTGGATATTGAATTTTTCCCAGAGAAATGCACCCCTTTGCCTTTCTGTTCCACCCCATATTCCTGTACCTGGGGCCACAGGTAATTCCACAGGTAATTCCACAGGTAATTCCACAGGTAATTCCACAGGTAATTCCACGAGCAGCACAAGGAAATAATTCAGATATTGGATTTTTTTTCCCTCTTTTTCCCAGAGAAACCCCAAAGGATACAAAGGAATGAGCAAACTTTATCGTGATTTATCAGGTGGAATGAAGGCTCCTGAGACACATGGTCAGTCCTGGAAGCTCCCAGCCTTCCCAAGGGATTGCAGGGCTTGGGGTTCCTCGTCCCTGGAGCCAACAGGCAGCACATGGGGCTGGGACCAGACCAGGGCACTGCAGAAATCGGGGGTTCATGGCACTTTGGGACCTTAAATTCCAGCTCTGGAGAGTGCATAATTCAGGAATCAGGGCCCAGCTTTAGCATTAATGCACTTCTCAGTCGTGTTCCCCTTGGAAGGCACTGCAGAGATGGGAGCAGGTGGAGCAGGATGCTCCAAGAACGGGAAAAACTCTGCTCCTCCCCCAAACAGGGAGCCAGATGAACATCTACCAGGGGGGATGAACTGCCTTCTGCAGGAAAAAAACTGCAGATCCTCCCTCCTGGTGTCCAGCCAGAGGATTTCTGGGGAAGAGAGAAGGTCAGGGATCACCTGCACCCCAAGTTCTCCGGAAGATCTGAAGCTGTTGGAGCGGCCAAAGGAGGGACATGAGGATGGGGAAGGGTCTGGAGGGACCATGGGAGGAGCAGCTGAGGGCACTTGGATCTGTGTGACAGGGACAGGACCCAGGGAATGGCTGGAGCTGTGTCAGGGCAGGGTCAGGTTGGATCTCAGGACAAGGCTCTTCCCCCAGAGGGTGGTTGGCACTGCCCAGGCTCCCCAGGGCAGTGGGCACGGCCCCAAGGCTGCCAGAGCTCCAGGAGGGTTTGGATGATCCTCTGGGGCACAGGGGGGGACTCTTGGGGATGTTCCTGGGCAGGGCTGAGGGTTGGACTGGATGGGCCTTGGGGGTCCCTTTCAGCTCAGCAGGTTCTGGGATTCTGGGAAGTTGATTCTGGAGCCAACCCAGGATTGAGAGCTCCTAAAACACCCACCTTGGCAGGTGGAGGAGGAATCCCAGATGGTTTGGGTTGGAAGGGACCTTCAAGCCCATCTCATTGCACCCCCTGCCATGGGCAGGGACACCTCCCACTAGCCCAGGTTGCCCCAAGCCCTGTCCAACCTGTTTAAACACTTCCAGGGATGGGGCAGCCACAACTTCTCCGTGCTGTTGGATGTTCTCTGTGATTCCTCTCCACAGCAAATGAGAATCCAAATATTTATGTCAAGTGTAATTTGAGTTTAAGAGTAACTGAAGTTGTTCCCCCAGAGGGTGGTTGGCACTGCCCAGGCTCCCCAGGGCAGTGGGCACGGCCCCAAGGCTGCCAGAGCTCCAGGAGGGTTTGGATGATCCTCTGGAATACAGGGGGTGATTGTTGGGGTGTCCTGGGCAGGGCCAGGGGTTGGACTGGATGGTCCTTGTGGGTCCCTTCCCACTCAGAACATTCCATGATTCCCTGATCTCCCTGCTTCCAGAAATAAGCTGTTTGAGCCAATTCCAACTTGGCATTTTTAATTCACCCCTGGGGACCCCCCTGCTGCGAACACAGATAATCCTGCCTGAAAATAGGTCTATTTTGGGAAACCTGCCCTGACAATAAAGCTGCAATTTAATTATTTATTGCACATTCCCCTGCTTTCAGGAGCCCGAGTTTCCCTGGACTCAGCATTTCCAAGGAGAGTCACCAGACGATTCCAGCTTGGGAACAAAGCTGCTTTTCCTCGTGTTTGGGGTTTTTTTTTGCTCTATTTGCTGGGTCAGAGCTGTAGCAGTTTTTGTGCTTATCAGTGAGAACTGGGCTCGGGGCAAGACCTACCTGGTAAAATGGAAAAGGGTTTCTTATTCCTTAGTGCTCTTTCCAAATCCTTGGGCACGTTGCTGTAAAGAAAAAAAGGATTATGAGGCTGCAGTGGAGTGTTTGCTGTAATTCCTGCCCATACATCACATTCTTTCTCACATTCTTTCCTAACAGGGTTAGAGTCCTGATGGGACTCTCTGGTGCCTTCCTACACTCAGCCATTCCCTGTCCCCTCTCCCAGGTTGGTGGCCCTGAGCTGTCCCAGGAGTGGCCACCACCCAAACCTTGCCAGCCTGAGGATGGCATTGTGCAAAAGTAAAAGGCTGGAAATAATTCAGTTAAAAATGTGATTTTAACAAATGTCATTTTTTTTTAATAATATGTTATACATATATATTTTTATACATATTATAATATATAAATATATAATAATATAATATATCATAGATCCCTCTGAGGGGATGGGAAAGGGGTTTTAGCCCCAATATTTTGGTGTGAGGTGCCAGCCTGGGCTCCTTTGGTTGCCAAAATGAGGCAACCAAAACAAGGCAGTTACTGCTGATCCCCAACCCAGAGGTCCAGGAGGGCAATGAACCAGAATAAAGGGATTATCCTTTTGCTCTGGGATCAGCTTTAGAGGGAGTGAGAGGGGCAGGGAGCACTGCCCTGGTCTCCTGGATGGTGGTCAAGGTGCTGAAAGGCTTTTTGGCACCATCACTGCATCCAGCACCTCTCCAAAGCCAGGCAGGGATGCACCAGAAACAAGGAGAGTCCTCTCCTCCAGCCCAGACACACATTCCAGCCCGGCACTCAGCCTGGAATGCTCACAAGCCTGGAATTGAAGTGCATGTCCATCAGCCAGGATTAAATCCCTGTCTCTGACAGGAGGGATGGGGCTGGAATGGCCACATTTCCTGTGCTGCTGCTTCTCAGCACAAAAATCCAGGTTGAGACAAGTTCCCAAGGAGCTTTCCAAGGGAAAAGCATCAGCCAGGCCCAGAACCTCGGCCTGCAAACAGCAAATATCAGCCAGGAGGAGCAGGGCGTGCAAACACGGCATTCCCGCTCCCTGGAATGTCTCACCGGCTCCTGAGCACCCAAACCCGAATTCCTTCCCTTCCCTCTCTCATTCCTGCTCCCTGGAATGTCTCAGTGGCTCCTGAGCA